GGGGCTTTCGGGCGCCAGGGCAGCCTGGGATGCCCGTAGTGCCGAGCGCCTCGAGACACGGCGGGGGTGGTTGCTGCGGGGGCTTTCGGGGAGGCGGAAGGTCGGGTCGGTCAGGGAAGGCAGCCGCGGCGGCGGCGGCGGCGGCGGCAGAAGAGAAGGCAGCGACCGCAGGAAGCAACGTGGTCGCGATGCAAGGCAGGCTGAGGTGGGGGGGGGGGCTGGGGGAGGGGCTGCGGCGGCCCGTCCCCGGCCGGGGGGGGCGTTGGGGGGGGGCGGGGGGGGGGGGTCGCCATCCTTCCGGAGTGGGCTGGGGGTCTGCCGTGTCAGGAGCAACGGAGGGAACCGAGCGGCAGTCCGAGCAGTGAGACTGCGCGCAGGCATCGCCAGAGGCTTGGATACCGTCCCGTGATAGCAGCGGCAGCCAAGATGGGAGGGAGGGGGCGGGGGGATGCGAGGTACCCGGCCCTTCTCCCTCGGCTTTGAATGGAGCCCCCCCCACCGCACGGTAACCAGGCTGCGTTTGAATGACTGACTTGACTGGAGACCTTCCCTTTTAACGCAGCCGTGCTCGCCATAAGAAAGGAACTCCAAAAATCCATAGATCATGGATTATCTTTAATGAAATCTTTAATAGAGCAAGGGAAAGATGACCCGTCAACTGAGCAAGCCTGCAAAATCGTCAGCTCTCTTCTTTAGGCAGGGCATTACGGAGCGCGGGCGGGGGAAGGAAGGAAGGAAGGGAAAAGGGCTGGCAGAATGCTGCTGTCAAGATAGCTGCGTGGCCGGACACCGTCCAGAGCCGTGTTGCTGCTGGCCAGAATTGCGAAGGGCATTTAATTCCCGGTAGTGTTCACACAGTCCCTTGATTTATATGGGAAGGTAGCAATCCTATGCATCTGGATAGGGCATCGCTCCACTGAATACATTAGGACTTACCTGCCAGTAAATGCTGGGCAGTGTAAGGCCATGCATGTTTCATTACAGGGAGCAACTCCAATTGAAATCGGAAGGATGGGGCTGTAGGCTGAACTTTAACACAGTCTTGTCTCCCAGATGCAGTTTTACCAGTGTTTCCTGAGGAGTAGTAACTAATCTGATTTGGTGCTTGGGAAGACAGAAACAAGTGCTGCTAATAATCAGCTATTTAGGAGTACTTGTGATAGGTGTATGTGATCTCATGAGTGACCCCTGAGGATTGCTTGCTTAGTGAGATTGGCTTTTTTTCCACTCATGATATGCTATAATGCCAGTGTAAAAGCTGCACTGGTGACAGTGTCTTCATTTTTTTTCTTTTTAATGTCTTTATCCTCTTCATACCCTGTATTAAAATATTGGTATGGCATGCAGACAGCAGTTCAAAGAATTTGCTGTGTCATAAGTATAAATAAAGTTTGGTCTGCATTTGTCAGACTTGGCATGTGTGGTTCCCTCAAAACAATCACCCAGATTACGGATAGTATCCATTGTTAGTCTCATGTACAGCAGCCCTATTGAAATTAATGTGACTAAAGTTAGTCTTGAATCATGGTAGTTACATGTGAAGCCTGCGCTTTCTTTTACCAATGCGGTTTTAGCCAAAGTTTATACCCCAACCACAGACTTGTGGTTTTCTTTCTGAGGATGCAGGGTTCTTTTCCTGGGTTGAGTGTGATTAACACCTCATACATAAACCATGATTCAATGACAGCTGATAGTCTGGGTTGTCATTATGTATAAACCAGGCTTCTCTTTTAATGGTTATCTGACACCCAGGGCAAAAGCATCAGGTTTGTATCATTGCTGTGACAATATAGTGCGATATCTCTGCTACTGAGAGATTTTAATAAATGAAATCCTGACTATTTGAATTTCCTTCCAGTTGATGTAAGATGCAGTTTTTATAATCAGAAGAATCTCTAGATTACTATGTAGAAATGTGGTGGGGTCTAATGAAAATGCATGAGTTAAGAATGCAAACTGTCATGGTGATTGGTCCCACCATGTCATATAGAGACAAAGATGGGTACAGTTAGGGTACCTCTAGGTAAAACCCTGGACATGATGTTTTTATGGGCACCTCGCTTTAGATGGACATGTGTGACATTTTATTTGAGAAGCATACACTGACAGTTTCTTTTCTGTACCACCACCCTGCCAGCTTCCTGTGCTTTGCTGCCACATTCCTGATAATGCTTGCCCATCCCTTGCTCCCCATCCCAAACAAGCAAGCAAGCAAGCCGATTTTGACAAAAGGAATATTCTAAGCCTGTCCAGTTTTGCATTATGTCCTTGCTTAAAGTTCCATTATGACTATAATAAAACAGTTTGCTTGTGCAATTCCAATGTGAAACACACTTCATTGCAATAAACATTACTTTGATATATTATAGAAAAGTTAATATCTAATGAAGGCAAAAACAATACAGTGTATATGCTCAGCTAGCCACACCAGACTGTGTTTTTTTCTTTTAATGTGCTGATGCCAAGCCTGTCTTGACCGCCCACCATTCTTTGAGTGGTTATTTGGGGAACCCAGATTTATGGGCTTTCCCCCCAAGTTCCCTCACTGGCTGCACCACAGGGTGGAGTGAGAAATGTACTCCTCCCCTGCCATGGTCCTGAAACTATCCACTCATCCAACACAGCTGTTTCACTGGGAGCAATGCTCCCACTGCTCTTAGTTCCAATACTCTTGGAGACAGAGTGTGCGTGTTTATATCTGTCTCCCCCCTCCAAAGTTGTATTCCCTTATCCTTGCTTAATCAGGAAGAAACTAGTGTGGATGTCTCATTAAAATTTGGAGTTGCGCTTCCCATCCCTTCACTGGCATCTGGCCATGCAGATGAGGTCTCCCGGTGCTTCCCGCAGATTGCTGTATGGGAAGAGTGCTGTGATATGGGTCTTATGGTGGGAAATTGATGGCTACTGGTGGGACAGGCAACTTGTCTCTGAATATCAGTTGGTATGAAGCAGCAGTGGAAGAAGGCATCTGTCCTTGCGTCCTGCATGTGAGCTTTCCACGGGAATGTGGTTGGCCTCTGTGGGAAAGGGGTTGCTGGACTGCATAGGCCTTTGGTCCAATGCCTGCTTGTTATGCTCTTTAAGTAAAGTGGTTTTGAACTGTTTCTGCCGAGAGCAACTGGCTAGGACATACTTGGAGGGATTGGGCCACTTCTCCGATAAAAGAGCCTCCTGAAGTTGTGAAATGGATTCTGATCCGATGAAGAGCGGGGGCCAGAATTCGCAGCTGAAATGCCAAGGGCAGTGGTCCGAGAGAATCAGACAGCTTCAAATTATGTGGGAAAATTTAGTGATGATGGCGGTATGAGGTGGGAGGAATGAACATCATTAATCCAAGGATACATTTTCAGGCTGAGAGAACAGACAAGTTGGGAGGTGTCAGATGCTCCAAGCAATTGGCCTTTCGGCTGGAGGACCCACCTTGAAGGTGTGGATAGCTCTCTTCAGTTTGGAATGGAGGAAGGGAATTGGAATCATGGCTCCTCATTAAGCCACATTTCCCTCATGGCACTATTCTAACTTTGCTTGTTTCTTTTGTTATTGACTCCCGCAGTACTCTTCTTTTGATCTTTAATGGGTCTCTTAGCTTTTTAGTTCTAATTATAGTAGCTGTTTAATTCAATTGCTGCTATGATGTTCTTCTAGATTCCCCCCCCCCCTTACTCTGTGTTGGAGCTTGTTAATTATTTAATTCTTTTCTGGATCTCTGTAAGACTCCCAAAGAAATGCAGGATGGAAAAGTGGGATACAAATGTCTGGAATGAGTTCAATCAATGCCCCTGAATGTTAGAATCACAAACAGGTAGCTTTCGGGTGGAATTCCCAGGCCACCATCTAATACATGGCCCGGCAGCCTGGTTACCCTCCGGAGGAGATTTGAAGGGCACGTGAATAGGTGCAGAAGGGGAGAGATGATGTGGAAGGTCCTTTCTCCCAGTGCTGCCCATCTGCAGGTGAAACAACGGTGCTGCATCTAAGCCCAGGCATTTTGTAGCAGAACTCACTTGAGCCCCAGTCAGCATGAGCAGTGGAAAAAGTCCAACATAAATGGAGGGCACTAGTTGTCTACACTTGATCTAAATCACAAGTATTACTTTGAAGTCAGTTCCAGAGTTAGTGTGGTTAGAGCAGGATGTAAAACTGGTTTAACCACTAGGCTTAATCGTTGATATTTTAAGATTACATGAAGGGATGCAAAGGTTTTTTGGACCAACCTCCATGTCTTCAAAGGCAGAAATTTCTGTGTTTTAATTCTCAGAGGAGCTTGTTCATGGGATTGTGGCGGGGGAAATAACCTTCATGTGACTGTGTGCATGAAATGCTAAGTTAGTAAGGAGAGGTGGCTTCACATGGCATCTGAACCCCCTGCTCCCAGGGCGTGGTGTACCTGCCACTTTGTGGCTTTTAGCAGCTGCCATCCCTGCTTTCTGCCGTGTTCCTGCAGTGCCACTTGGGCTGTAGCCGTGCTGAGCTTCAGCGGATGTCTGAACACACCTAGCAACTTAATTTCTCTAGCTGTGTGAGCTGGTTACATCCAGAAGGATGAGCATAATTACTCTGCGCAGTGCTGATTGCTGTTCTGTGAGAACCTTGCTGGGGTACCTTGTTGCCATGGGTAACAAGCCACCCTGAACCTTACAACAGACCACAACAACAGGCCATCCTTGCTGGGTTCACGTGACACAAGAAGCTGTACTGCTAGAAGGTAATTATAAGCCACTGTGGCTTATTAACCATCCTGTGATTGTGCAGACCAGGTCACGGAGTTACACAGTTCCCTTGTTTCACAGGATACTGACTGGGTTCATACAATGCAGTAAGCCTGGGTGGGTTGTGGGCCCTGTTGGTTTCAGAGCGGCTTCTTGTGTTTCCTAAGGCCAACAGCATGGTTTGCTAATGCAAGCTGCTCTGGCTGGGTTCAAGCCACATGACAAGCCATTCTGAATCAAATCTGGCTCAAAATATGTTTGTCAATATGTTTCTGTTTACAGTCCAAGGGATTGGTAATTTCCTTCAAAGCCCTTCATGGCTTGGGTCCAAAATACCTTCAGGAGCATATATTCCGCCTTACCCACTAAGGTTCTCTGGGAATAATCTTCTGAAGTTTCTTGCCTAAGATTAATGTAACCACCCAGAGGACATTCTCAGTCTGCTGACAAAATGACCCATGTCCTGGTATGTGTTTGCTCAAATCACACAACAGGCGAAAGTTTTCTTTTAAAGTTTTATTCTTGAGAATAACATGGCTATCAATGGGCCATTCCTGCGTGGTGCACCCTGAGCATTCCTTGGTTTCTAAGTTTGCCCTTTTCATGCATTGATCATTAAAGGGTGAAACATAATGCATTGACACTTTCTTGTAGGCTACAGAGGTAGAAGTTGCAATGGCGTGATTTTCCCGCTTGCATATCAAAGCAGGAAGGAGATGCTCTGAAGGAGGAAGGGCTGTGTGTGGAGGAAGCCTGGGCTGCTCTTCTGTGGATTAAGTGGAGCGGGGAGTTTGTGTGAATTGCCCTATGTTCAAACTGCTGTTATCTGTCAAGGGTAAACTGGCCCTCTTTGGAATAGTACCTGGTTAATTTCAGCTACATTTCAAGGAGCCAAACATGTAGTTTTCTAGAAAGGAGGGCCTAGCTGTTGCCAATGATTGCATGATTTACCTATAAAAGTTTTATACCTATTGAACTGTAGATCAAGTCATTGCCCCTAAACTCTGAAATGTTTCAGAGAGGCACCTGATATCCCAGATTGCTACCTTCAAGGGGAGTTAAAGATGTGTCTCTTCCAACAGGCCTTCCCAGATTAGTTCCCTGATTGGTTTAACTTAATACGCTTGTTTTTACTCAAATTTTAATTGTTGTTTTAAACTGTCTTTGTAATTGTCTCTTGTAAACTGTCCAGAGTCTTTGGGAATGGGGCGGTATATAAAAACTAAAACAAATAAATACAAATCCACCATGGCTTATCACAGTTTGGCAAACCCAATGTCTGGGTTTGCACAGTCATGGTGAAAAGAAGCCACAGTGGCTTATGTTCTTTGCCCCATGGTTGTATGATTTGCCTAATCACCCTTCTGGAGCTTGCTTCCTATGACATCTGAACCCAGCAAGGTGCCCCACAGGAGTGGTTTTGAAGCCACTGCAGACCCCATGGCTCGTGCAGTTCTAGATGGTTTTGGAGGGCACCACTCTGGATCCAGATGACAGGAGAAGCCATGTCCCAGAAGGATATTTAGGCAAATTGCATGTTGCATAGCCAGTTCACCTAGGGGTGGGGAAAAGAACTTTCGTTTTTCTGGAAACAGGCAAACCCTGCCAATTACTGAGTTCACACATTATAGAAGGAAAGTAAGCTATGGTGGTTTATTTTCCTCTCTGCACATTCCATTTGTGAGCTGCTTAAATAGCATAATTAGCCTCAGTGCACGTTGCGAGACGCCAGAACGAAACCATGCTTTGCTGACAAATGCAACATAAGAATCATTTTTAAAAGAAACACAAAGCTTATTAATCATCTTGCATGCACAAAATCTGATCCCAAAGCTGTGTGTTTGTAGCAGGAAACAGCAACTTAAGTTGAATGTGAGTGATCTAGGGTGCAAAATTGTCTGAAGTGGGGAAAATTGGTACTCAATTCTATGCAGAAAAATCTCATTTGTAAGTTGATTATTAATAATGAATGTATGCCAAGTGCACATGCAGTATCAGACATGCCTGGCCAAGTATTATCTTTAGTAAGCATGTGAGGGAATACATTTCTGTCACTGAAATACACAGAGGCTTCCATGGGGGAAAGACATGGAGCAGACGATAGTTTGCAGCATATCATAGACTGCTGAAATGCATTAATGTGCCAACCCTTTTTAGTACCCCTTTCTCTTAAATTTAAACAGTGTAAGAGAAGTACTTGAGCAGAGAGAAGGCATTTTTCTTATTATTTATGGCATCTTTTTAAACTGCTATCCCATGTCAACAAGAACTGAGCACTAGTTGAGTTTGGGGTTATTTTTGATCCCAGAAGAAAAGTGCCTGAAACAAGAAAAATAATGCATATAAAAAGTTTTTGCTCTGGCTGAAATTTTCCCTGGGAGATATGAATCAACATGAATGGCTTCCAGTATCAGCAAGTACAGGTAATTTCAGGTTTAATCCTGCCTGAGGCTATGCTAAACAAGAAAAGCTTTATAACCATTCTCGGCCAATTTCTTTTCTTTGTATAACCATAGTTTGGCCGACTAACTTTAAAAAAATCATAGCAAACTAAAAATCCTTCAGTGGATTTTAATTTGGTTTGCTGCAAGTTGTAGTTAAGAATCTTAGCTTTCAAAAGTGACCAAGATGACTTGTATTTAACCTTCTTTTGCTCCTTTGTTGGGGGTCTAATTTTGGGGATATAAACCAACCCTGTAGAACTATTCCTGTGGAGATTGTTGCATACTCTTGCACTCGAACGTGCTTTCGTTTAGGCAGGAAGCTGAAATTTGGGAATGTTTAGAATAGGCACTTTGTGACAATACCCCCAAAGAACAAGTCAGTAGGAAGATGTATGTTTAATTACAGTACAGAATGTGAGCTACGAGGATGCAGTTACCCCACAGTGTGGGATGGGGATGATCAGCTTTTCCTAGAAAATATGCCAAGTATCCTAATCTGTAGCATGCCTGTCTCGGAGGTGCAGAATTCAGGAAAAGGATGATAGCAAATTATGCCTTTGTAGTTTTCTAGTCAGCCCTTTTTAAAACATGAGTGAGCAACCAGTGGTCCTTCAGAGGCTGCAACCCCCATCAGCCCCAGCCAACATAGCCAATGGTGAAAGATGGTGCAGAAAAGAGAAATGGGCCACTAATGTGCAACAGAGGGCAATCAAAATGATCGAGGAGCTGGGGCAGCTCTCCAGTGAGGTACATTTGCCCCATCTGGGACTGCTTAGCTTATAAAAAAGTGTGTAAGGGGAGACAGGGCAGAGATGTGGAGACTTATGCAGGGGAGGCACTCTCCCTTTCTTGTAATGCTGGAATCCAAGAGGGGTCACCCCATGAAGCCTTTTGGCGGGAGATTCAGGACAGATAAAAAGAAGCCCAGGTAGATGCTGACCCACACCTGCGCTTGGAGAAATGTGGTAGGTGTAGCAAGACAGGAAGTACATCTTGAGGGAGCCTCTAATTATATCATCTCACTTTTTTATTCAGGGCCACTCCCCAAGCCTAAATCACCAAGGTTTCAGAGAGGAGACCAAAACCTTAGGTAATTATGAAATTCAGTTAATGTATGGCAAACATTTGTGCTAAGGCTGTATGAGGAATATACTGTGACGGTGCATTTTGCACCAATTGTATTTGGCAATACATCTTTATAGTAAAAGGGGGAGGGAGGAAGAAATATTTCTACGATTTTGAGAGAGAATCCCAGCTAACAAAATCCCCAAGTAATAAGATGGGGAGGTTAAGCACCCATATGAGGTTAGCAACAGAATGACAAGACCAGGACAATCAATGCACGCCCATTTTCTGGCAATAAATAATGTAACTTTTCATTAAAGAAATACAGCTTTAAAGGTAAAAAGTCAGTGAATTGTACAGAGTGTCCCATAAAGAGCTTTCTGAACTATCCAAATGGAGATAGGGTAGAAATATTATATAGAGTATAACACAATAGCTAGACAAAGAGGCCAAAGGGCCATTAGGGAAATGTGTATGCTGGAGACTTTTGGAGAGGGACACAGCAACCCAGTTTGCAGGATCCCTGCAGTGCACTGTGGGAGGCTGAACATCGATGGATGGAGACACAGCTGAGGCACTCCAGAGTGTACAGTGCTCACAACCAGGGGGACACCCAGCACTTTGACAAGCCAATCCTGTGACCAGTGGACATCGCCTAAATGGCCACAGGACGGTTCAGATGCCAAGGCTGGATAAATGCTCTAACCTTGGCCTGGATCCCCCTTCCATGCCTGCAGTCAGCACAGGAAGACCTGCACTGGTGACCTCTCCAAAATTTTAAGGGCAGCCTGAGAGAAGGGCTTGGGTTGGGAGGGAGGAGACCAGTGCCTCGGAGGTATGACATATCCCGGTGGCCCCTCAGCCTCCTCCCTCTTGCTTGGAAGCTTACTGGCATCCTCGTAGGATTGCAGCCTAAGTCACTTAAAGCACCATCCTATGCAGGAGTTAAAGAGTGCTAAAGGAAGGTCACATGATTGGAAATTGTATGTTGGAGATCAGTAAGAAAGGAACTGGTGCATCCTTATTAACAACTGGCGTTACACTGGCCACTTTCCAGTCCTTTAGTAATGCCTGAGTGCAGTGCCATTGTCGTATTTGTTTTTGGCTTATACATTATGAGTAATACAAATTGCTGTTGTACTTTGATGATTGATATTGCTTATTTAGTAATTCATTGAAAGGTTTATGCTGTTAGGAGGGAAATGAATTATCTGGCTTGCGACAATAATGATGCCATATTGCAGTTGGCATATGGATATGCATCCCTGTATTGCACTGCTGTTGTGTTGTGAACACAGAGTGGTATACAAAGCAGGAAATGTAACAATACAGGGGCTAGCCTTAGAGTCTGAGAACACACTATTGTTAGAAGATCAACAATTTCACATTTAAGTTAAGAACTCTTAGGTTGGTTTGTTTTGGTCAGTAAGGTGCAGAATGTCATCTCTAGTCGCCTCTTGCTTCAGCTTCTCAAGCCCTTCCTGGGAATATTGGTTCAAGCACTGGGAATTATCCTGCATCCTATTCAGTGAAGGCAGATGCAGGGTATTCATTTAGCTTCTCTGCAATCCACCAAGGCTGCTCTTAGGACTCCAAAGTCTGTATTTCAAAATTTTCTATGCAGTGAATACTGGTTTCTAGATTAAGGCTGAAATCCTGTGCCCATTTATATGGAAGCAAACCCCATTGAAATAAGTGCAATTTATTTCTCGGCTGACAAAAGAGTATGACGTTTATGCGATTTGTCCTGCAACTGTTGGCTCGACATCTTAGCATGCTGAAGAAAATAAATGTTAGTTATATGAAAGCAAAATATGCAGCTTTTTCTAACCTGAAGCTCTAATGATATGGTCGTCAGTTCCAAACTGCTTGTCTAGTGCTGGTCTTTAGGACTGGAAATGTAAAGTTGGCAAGCCAGTCTGAACCTAGAACATGTGCAAAAAAATCTGCCTAGTACAGATATGTTTCTTTTCATAACTTTATAGTTGCTTTTTGATAATAGCTTCAGAACTAATATTCACATACATACAGGACCATGTAGGTCCTTCAGTGGGATTGGGAGGTGTCTGCAGTGAATTCAGAAGAGTTTGGAGTTGTATGTTTGGATTCTGCAGCACACTGGCTTTTGTGAGTCGTGGCAAACTTTTGGAAAGGTTTTTCATGTTCTGGAGAATAGAATAGTAGAGTTGGAAGAAGCCAAGAGGGCCATTCAGTTTAATTTGTACTAATTTGCACAAGTATCCATTAACATAAATAGAACAAAATTTTGGCAAAGCCCCAATTCCATCTATTAGCAGATGAGAGATCAAGACATCTTACAGTCTGCAAGATGCAGACAAAATCCATACACCCCTTATATTTGTGTATTTGTATTCATATCTAAACCTAGATCATGCATTTATCTATAGCTCCTTCCCATTTTTCCATGCAGATGAGTACTAAATCTCACAACTGGATATATTTCAATCCAGTTGGTCTGTTGTCTCAGCAGTTCTTGATTCGCCCATTTTATCTTCACTTTGTTGAACATCTTTTGAAGGGTTCTGCTGTGTAGATTATATAACAAATCCTGAGAGATGCACTGAGCAAGAATCTGTTGACATTAGTGAAAGTCTTGTGAGCTTGTGGGCTGGAGGTACATAACAATGCCTCATACTTCATTGTTGACAGACTGAAGAAAGAGTTGTTGAAAGGGAGAAATATTAAGGAGGCACTAGGAGTGGTTGAGGAATAGTTGTCTGCAGTTCTATCAACTTCATTGGCTTCAGATTGTATTTTGAGTTGGACCTTCTTCCAGACATTATATATTATTACATCCTGGCTTCCCTGTCTGTGTATGCCATATGTTATTGCACACTGCTGGCAAGCTGCTTGGTGCAAGAACTTGCACAGACGGCCCCAAGTATTTGGCAAACTTGGCGTGTTCAGTTTAAGCGATTCTCCCTATTACGGAGCAGGTTGAGCTGTGAAGACATTATAGAACACTTATTTAGCCATCTTGCCATAAACATTTTATTCTGTGGTTTTCAGTGTAGTCTTTTCCAATTCTAATATGTCATGATATTGACTTGTGAGATCTGTTGAATGGATCAGTAAACGGATTGATTAAGCGGTGGCAGAAAGGTTTTTGTTGTTGTTCTTGAACCATTCCACTAGTGATACCCAGTTTGGGACTGCTCTGCTCATTTGAACAGACGTGTGTCAGGCAGACATTCAAGAGATGCAGTCCCCTTTCCCACACAAAGCATCACCACAGTGATGCTGCATCCATTGGATGTGTTTATGATGCAGCTCATAAAGGCAGAGTCCTGTGCCGGAGGAGAAACACGGAAATCTACCTATCTATTGTTAAAGCATTCATATCTCACTTGTGGCCTCCTCAGAGCCAGCTATTTGGCTACTGTGAGAACCAACTGCTGGACTAGGTAGGCCTTTGGTCTTATGATTCCTTATAAGGAGGACTCATCTTATGATTAGTTCAACAATTGCTGGATATTTTAATTGAAAGTTAATGGGGCTCCAATTCATGTTTTTATATTCCCACCTATGAAGAGCATTATGGCCAAAACACACGTGGGAAAGAGCATTGTAAAAATGCACAGCCTGGAATAGAAACCAATTCTGAGTGACATTAGAGGACTGCATATTGAATATTTTAAGCATGGATGTACAGAACTATCAAGTTTGTTATATTTAAATAATATTCTACAGTTGGTTCCATACATGTGCAATCTCCTCGAACGCTATTGCTTAAGGATTCTGGATTGGTTTAGGAATATTTCCTTTTTTCCCCTTGTACCATTATCCAGTGCTGCCGCACCACTAGCACTAACAATGCTACTGTTGTTCAGTCGTAAAGCCGTGCCCGACTCTTCGCCACCCCATGGGCAGCATTCCTCCAGGTTCTCCTGGCCTCCAGCATCCCCCAGAGTACGCCCAGCCCCACACCCGCCTCTCCAGTGACACCGTCCAGTGACTAACAATGTTGCACTAGCCTAAACCGACGCTTGCACAATGGTACTTGTTAGGCAAGGGGGAAAACAGAGCTTTGCCCCCACGCTGCTAAGACGCCCCTGCTTTTCCCCTTTGCCTAGCAAGTGTTAATGATCTTGCACTATTTCATGCTCGAGCAATGTCATTAGCACCGGCACTGTGGCAGCACGGGATGATGTCCCCTGGGGTTTTTTGCTGTGTGCCTTGAACTGCAAACATGGGGGTTGTCAGGCTTTCTGTTCAGCAGGTCATAGGGTGTGCAGGCTTGGCGTCAGAGGGCTCATCTTTAGTTATAGGCCACCGAGCCTCCCTTGTTTTCTTGAGAGGGGGCATTCCTAACTCTGTGAAGGTTTCTCATTGCTGGGGGAACGAGAGCAAGCTGGACCTTGTGGCTGTTTGGCAGTTTCATTGCATACCTGTCCTACATGTTCTGCTTCTCCTGTAAAAATAGGTCTAATGAGTGTTCATTGTTTTAATGCGTCTCAGAGAGGCTTGCCTGGCACCTCCATTGTAATCTTTTGGACACCAGGTAAAACACTTTTTAGTTCTTCAGGTTTGTTCTTTAAATGTGTGGGCTTTGATCTTTACAGTACTGCTGGATTTTATTTTTACTTATCTCTTCTCTCTTTTAAACTGTCATCGGGTTTTTATTATGTTTTGTCATGTTGTATTTTATAGATTTAATTTTTGTGAGCCATCCAGAGAGCTTTGGCTGTTGCATGGTACAGAAAAATAATGCATGCAGGAAATAAAGTTTACATTTGCCTCTTGTTTTTTCCAAGCAGGTGAAGCAGAGAAGTGAAGAGAGCAGGATGGACCTTGATGTGCTAAACATGTTCGTAATAGCGGGGGGCACACTGGCCATACCCATTCTGGCGTTCGTAGCATCGTTCCTGCTGTGGCCTTCAGCACTGATCAGAATATACTACTGGTAAGTACTTTCTTCATCAAGCCAGACACTAGAACTGTAGTCCCAGTATAAGTTACCCTTGCAGAACCCTTGTTGTATCCTTCCAGGCTTGTTTCCATCAGAGAGGAAGACCTGCTGTGTCATTAATCTCAGAACACGTGCCCTTGTCTTGGGCTGGAACTGCCGTCTCTGTAGCACAGTCCCCTGAAAGCTGTGGTGCACAGCCTGGTGTGCATTTGAAGCTGTTTGGAACCATAAGACTGTTGGCTCCCAGCCTCACCACTAACTGGGAATGCTTTAAGGAGCTGGGTGCGAGGATGACAGAACTTTCACTATTACTGGACTGAGCAGGCCAGCCTTTTTGAAGCATGGTTCATGTTTTCACCTTCTCTAGACTGGGAGGAGAAGCATGAATATTCTTGCACCTGCGATGTAGCATATGCGTGGGCAACTTGTGGCCTTCCAGATGCTGTGGTCTAGAACAGGTGTCCTCAACCCCAGGCCATGGACCAGTAGCGGTCCGTGGCCTGTTAGGAACAGGGGCACCCAGCAGGAGGTGGGGCAAGTGAGTGAAGCTTCATTTGCCTTTGCTGGCATCGCTGCCTCAGCTCCACCTTAGATCATCTATCAGGCATCAGATTCTCATAGGAGCGCAAGCCCTACTGTAAACCATGCATGCGCGGGATCTAGATTGCATGCGCCTTATGAGAATCTAATGCCTGATGATCTGAGGTGGAGCTGAGGCAGTGATGCTAGTGCTAGGGAGTGGCAGCAAATTCAGATTATCATTAGCAGAGAAGCTTGACTGCACAGAGATCATAATAAATCAATTGCTTGCAGACTCACATCAAAACCCTGTCAGTGAGTGGCAAGTGACAATTAAGCTGTGTCTAGTTGCAGGATAACAAGCTCAGGGCTCCCACTGATTCTGCATCATGGTGAGTTGTATAATTATTTCATTATATATCACAATGTAATAATAATAGGAATAAAGTGCACAATAAATGCAATGCACTGAAACCATCCCAAAGCCACCCCCCACCCCGGTCCATGGAGCAATTGTCTTCCACGAACCTGGTCCCTGGTGCCCAAAAGCTTGGGGACTGCTGGTCTAGAACATGCTTCAGCCCTGACCAGCAGGGCCAGCAGCAGTTCAAGGAAATGCCCTGAAGGCACATGAGGCAGCCAACTTGCTGAAGCTGAGCAGGTCTGAGTTTGGTCAGTACTTGAAGGCGAGACCACCCCGGAACTGCAGTACGTGTTACCACCTTGAGTTCCACAGTGGAAGGGAGCCGGGATGGAAATAAATGCAAATAGATAAATGATGGGAGGTGTAGGTCAAGCTGCTCAAAGGGCCACAAACTGCCACCTTCCATGCAGTGGATGTGCAGACAGCTCTCTCAGTCTCTGAGCTCCCTTCTTCTGAGACTTTCATCTGTATACAGCAGCTTATTGTAGGAGGGTGCCAAAGACCAAATCAGGTGATTGGTTCATGTAACTCAGTATTGTTTACTCTGACTGGCAGCAGATCCCAAAGATCTCAGCCTGAGTCCTTTCACATCACTGGCTATCTTCTACCTACACTTCCCTAGTAAGCATGGCTCTTAAGATATAGACATATATATTTACATGTATATAGAGGGTGTGTGTGTGTGTGTGTGTGTGTATGATAGGTAACATGATGCTAGAATAAAAGCAAATTTTTCAGCTGACCTACCTATATATCTGTCCCATAAAATGTTTTTTGCTCATAATGTTTCATTAGTATAAATGCTGCAGAATTCTGCACTGCCTTATTACCAATGCACGGCTTTGTTGCTGGTTGCTAGGCAGTGCTATATTACCGTGGTTACTTCTTCTGACTAGGGAGATTAGCACCCCGTGAATACAGATGCCATTGGCTTGCTTCTGAGCGGGGACAAATGGCTTGCCATATAGGCAGTCAGAAAAGCTATTTTAAATGTCTAAGCAGGAGTAATTGTTACAATGGGATTGGAACAGACTTAGCATGAGAACAACTGCGGAAAAGGCTGGTGCAGGGAGGGAGAGCGAGCAAGGGGGGGTGGCGTGAGAGCTGAAGGAAGAGGTGATTCTGGTGTGCCTGGGAAAAGCAGTTTGCTGGAAGGCACCAAGTGTGGGAACTGGCCGCCCTTCTCCCACAGCGAATGAGCAGGTTGTCGGTGATGATGGTGAAAGTGTGCTCTGGGCACTTCTCCGGTCACCCCTCTTGCATCACTGAAAGTCTTGCAGATTCGCACAGTGAGTCCCTGGTGAAGGGGTCTTACTGAAAGAAGTGCTAATGGTGCTGGGTTCCAGGGACAGCTTCCTTCTGTGCTGCTGCTGCTGCTGGGAAAGCGCCGTTGGCCTCGTGTCAGGATGGCCGAGGGGCTCCCGATTGGCATTGTCCAGCCTGAATGTTGTGAAGCAGCGGCAGCGGCCTGAGGCATGGATGTGAGAAAGCGCCAGTGTGCATGTTGTTCTGCCATGGAACAGCACAGCCTCACCTTGGCATTTCTGCAAGAGAACTCCCTGGGTCTTTCTGATGGAGCTGCTCTGGGTTAACTGAAGTAGTGGCCTTTGCGGTCCACCACTGCTCCATCGAGAGGGTGGGTTGGCATGGATGGGGATGCAGGCAGTTGCATGGCACAGGTGCGTCAGGGAATGGGTCCTAGTCAAGGACCTACAACCCCTAGCACAGCCACTTCCACATCGCCCAAGAAGAGGTCCAGAGAGGACCTGACACAGATCTGCATGATGGTCACCCATGCCAGTTTAGAGACACAGGACCCCTCCCCAGTGTGGTGACCAGCCTGTGGCCAGGTGAGGCTGCCTAGTCTGCTATCTGGGGGAAACTTGTGCTAGGCAACTTTTAAGGCTCTGCTCTCTTGGCTGCTTTTGGTTATTCATCCTTAAATGTGATTCGGACTGGAGGAGTCCAACATGCTCTGGGGAGACCTGGGGAGGAGGAGGTGGAAGCAGTAGGTGGGTCATCCTCCGGATGGCCCCTTCCAGGGCAACCGTAACAACCAGTACTTGCGTTGCTGTGGCAACTTGTTGCGATGATTTCTGTTAAGGACCTGCAAGTAGCTAATTCTCTCAACAGGTTTTGGGTGAATCTTTTGTTTATAGAGATTCTGGAACAGGGTGGGGCTTGAGAAATACGAATATCCCCCCCCCCTTTGCCTTTATAATGCTTTTTGCAGGTATGGAACTGGCTGGGGGTGATATTGACTGTTTCCTCTTCACATGCACTGCATATCTTTCTGCCTGCTTGACTCTCGATTACTGCTAGCAGGGGCAGTTCATATTAATAAAGGCCAATTCAACCAATTAATTTGGGCTTTGTACTGATCCACTTGGGTGCAATTGTGCCAGTGTCAGTACGGAGCATCTTTATCAGGATGCAAATCAGGAACAAAAATCTCCTTTATGTGTAGGGAACCCCTTCACACAGCGTAATCTCCATGTGCACCCTCAAATCAGGATGTGTCGAGGGTGAAAAGAGGCTGGGGTGCATATGCTAATATAGTGCTTTGCCTCTTTTTGATTGTGGTTCATTGGTCGCTCCGTGAGATGCACCAAACATCGCCTCTGATGTCTCGGGGATCGGTATGTTCTTCTGGTGGACAGTGCTTGATCAGGCTTTGAAATGATGGAGCTCAAGATCTCTTCTGATATGTGTCTGGCGGCGAGGGGGGGGGGCTGTGTTTTTTTCCTCCTTTTCTGGCAGCTTTGTATTGCAAGTACCAATATTGTTTCTCATTTTGAAAATCGGAACAGTGATTCATCTCTCCGGTTCCTTTGAAGATGACTGGCAAAAGGATTTTGTAACACTTTTCATATACAAAGTGCTATTTTATTGTGTTTTTTATTTTAAGACTCTCGCCTCTACAATCAATGCATTAATGGTATACTAAATACAGACAAGAGGCAGAACTTGTGTTTGGTGGTATAAATTGAGGATTTTTTGTTGTTGTTTAGTCACAAAGTTGTGCCCAACCCTGTGTACAACATTCCTCCAGGATCTCCAGTCCTCCACCATCCCTCAGAGCCCACCCAAGCTCACACACAAGCCTTATATTAGTGCCTCCGGATCCTTTGACCTCATAAGATCAACTGTCTCATGCTATAGAAAACAAACCACACTGAGATACAATTGGATTATTTAGATATAGATAGACATGACTCTATCATCCATTCAAGTGTTATTTATATAACATTTATAAATATATTTATAACTTTATATTTTATACAATACACACACACACATCTAAATGTTTTATTGAACTATATAGAACATTTACAAAAAAACAAAAAGCAAAGGTACATGGATTCAAGACAAAATATCAGCTCTGAGTCATAGGCAGTAGTCTGAGATGAGTCAGGAAGCAGAGGTATGCCAGGGAAGCAAGTCAAAGGGATGAAGTCAAGAGTCAGGACTGAAGCACAGGCTGAGGTTGAAGGACAAGCGGGGAGCAACATGTACATCAGGACTGGCAAAAAACCAAAGGATTTAGTGTCCTTGTTATGCAGCCAAGGCTCAACTGAAACTGGAAGCCCTGTTATATTTCTTCCTGTCTGGGTTGGCCCAATGTCCAGCTCTGGCTGGTGGAGTCAGCCAGGGATATGTGGTTAAGTGCTGCAGTCTACACTTTGGTAGCTCACCTTATATGGAGCACGTGCACACAGATTCAAAGACTACTCTTGAAGTCCCAGCAACTTCTGACAAAAACCTGGTTTGTAGTTAATGACAATCCAGAGTACAGGTTGAGTGTGGGTTTCCATTGCACCATGCATTACTGTTGAATTATGGGTTGTCATTATATGTGAACCCTGCACAATGGTTTAACATGAATAATCCAGGATTTGCAACCCAGCAACAAAACATAGATTCTCTTTCCAGATTGTTTGTAGTTAACAATCACTAAAGCAAGAATTTGGGCTGACGGTATGTGCACACCAGACTGTAGAGAGACCCAATCTTCTAGAGCAACCTTCCCCATCAAAGGTTTTATAGCATGGTCAATGGTCAGGAATGTTGGGAGCTGCTGTCCAAATCATCTGTAAGGCAGGGAATGCTGGCATAGAGATCATCACATTTCCAGTAGTTAATATGTCCAGTACTTTTCAGTTTATTAAGATAAAAGAATACACTACATTTTTCAAAATAAATATCTCACAGAGTTTAAACAATAAACTCTTCATAAGAACACTCTGGCTTGTTTGTTTGTTTATTCATAGCATCCTATACATTTGCACTCCTTCATGGATCACTGCCTTGTCGTGGCGAAGGAGCTTGTGTAGCTCAATGAAGCTATGAGCTATGCCGTGCAGGGTCACCCAAGATGGACAGGTCATAGCAGAATGCTCTGACAAAAGCTGATCTACTGGAGAAGAAAATAGCAACCCACTCCAGTATCCTTGCCATGAAAACCCCATGGACAGAATCGAAAGGCTAAAAGATATGACACCAGAAGATGAGCCCCTAAGGTTGAAAGGTGTCCAGTGTGCTACTGGAGAAGAGTAGAGGGCTAGTACTAGTAGTGCCAGAAAGAATGAAGTGACAAAGTCAAAGCTGAAAGGACACTCAGTTGCTGATGTATCTGGTGGAGAAAGGAGAGTCAGATGCTGCAAAGATCTATACTCCAAAGATCTATACTCCTGGAATGTAAGATCCATGAATCAAGGCAAGTTGGATGTGGTCAAACAAGAGATGACAAGACTGAACATTGACATCTTAGGAATCAGTGAAGTAAAATGGACAGGAATGGGTGAATTTAATTCAGATGACCATCAGGTATACTACTGCGGGCAAGAATCCCTCAGAAGAAATGGAGTAGCCTTCATAGTCAATAAAAGAGTAGGAAAAGCAGTACTGGGATACAGTCTCCAAAATGACAGAATGATCTCAGGTCGAATCCAAGACAAACCATTCAACATCACAATAGTCCAAGTCTGTGCCCCAACTACTGGTGCTGAAGAGGCTGAAGTTGACCAGTTCTATGAAGGCCTACAACACCTTGTAGAATTAACTCCAAAAAATGATGTCCTTATCATCATGGGGGATTGGAATGCTAAAGTAGGAAGCCAAAAGATAACCGGAATAACAGGCAAGTTTGGCCTTGGAGAACAAAATGAAGCAGGGCACAGGCTGGTAGAATTTTGTCAAGAGAATACGATGGTCATAGCAAACACTCTTTTCCAACAACCCAAGAGACAACTCTACACATGGACATCACCAGACGGTCAACACAGAAATCAGATTGACTATGTGCTCTGCAGCCAAAGATGGAGAAGCTCTATATAGTCAGTAAAAACTAGACCAGGAGTTGACTGTGGCTCAGATCATGAGCTTCTGGTTGCAAAATTTAGGCTTAAGTTGAAGAAAGTAGGGAAAAGCACTAGGCCACTCAGGTATGACCTAAATCATATCCCTGATGAATATACAGTAGAGGTGACAAATAGATTTAAGGAATTAGATCTGATAGACAGAGTGCCTGAAGAACTATGGATAGAGGTTCGCAACATTGTACAAGAGGCAGCAACTAAAACCATCCCAAAGAAAAAGAAATGCAAGAAAGCAAAATGGCTGTCTGAGGAAGCTTTACAAATAGGTGAGGAAAGAAGGGAAGGGAAAGGCAAGGGAGAAAGATACAAACAATTGAATGCAGAATTCCAGAGAACAGCTAGAAGAGATAAGAATGCCTTCTTAAATGAACAGGGCAAAGAAATAGAAGAACACAATAGAATAGGGAGGACCAGAGATCTCTTGAAGAAAATTGGAGATATGAAGGGAACGTTTCATGCAAAGATGGGCATGATAAAGGACCAAAATGGCAGGGACCTAAAGGGACAGAAGAGATTAAGAAGAGGTGGCAAGATTACACAGAAGAACTATACAAGAAAGAGCTTAACGTCCTTGATAACCACGATGGGGTGGTCACTGACCTCGAGCCAGACATCCTGGAATGTGAAGTCAAGTGGGCCTTAGGAAGTCTGAGCAACAACAAAGCTAGTGGAGGTGACAGTATTCCAGCTGAGCTATTCAAAATCCTAAAAGAAGATGCAGTAAAAGTGCTACACTCAATATGCCAGCAAATTTGGAAAACTCAACAGTGGCCACAGGATTGGAAAAGGTCAGTTTTCATTCTGATCCCAAAGAAGGGCAATGCCAAAGAATGTTCAAACTACCGCACCATTGCACTCATTTCACATGCTAGCAAAGTGATGCTCAAAATCCTACAAGCTAGGCTCCAGCAGGATGTGGACCGAGAACTACCAGAAGTACAGGCAGGATTTTGAAGAGGGAGAGGAACTGGAGATCAAATTGCCAACATACGCTGGATCATGGAGAAAGCTAGGGAGTTCCAGAAAAACATCTACTTCCGCTTCATTGACTATGCTAAAGCCTTTGATTGTGTGGATCACAACAAATTGTGGCAAGTTCTTAAAGAGATGGGAGTACCAGACCATCTTATTTGTCTCTTGAGAAACCTATATGCGGGTCAAGAAGCAACAGTGAGAACTGGACACGGAACCACTGATAGGTTCAAAATTGAGAAAGGAGTTTGGCAAGGCTGTATACTGTCGCCCTGCCTATTTAACTTATATGCAGAGCACATCATGAGAAAGGTGGGGCTAGATGAATCACCAGTTGGAATTAAGATTGCTGGGAGAAATATCAACAACCTCAGATATGCAGGTGATACCACTCTCATGGCAGAAAGTGAAGAGGAACTAAAGAGCCTCTTGATGCGGGTGAAGGAGGAGAGTGCAAAAGTTGGCTTGAAACTCAACATTAAGAAAACTAAGATCATGGCAGCCGGTCCTCTCACTTCCTGGCAAATAGATGGGGAAGAAATGGAGGTAGTGACAGATTTTATTTTCCTGGGCTCCAAGGTCACTGCAGATGGGGACTGCAGCCAAGAAAATAAAAGACGCTTGCTCCTGGACAGGAAAGCTATGGCAAATCTAGACAGCATACTAAAAAGCAGAGACATTACCCTGCCAACAAAGGTGCGTATAGTCAAGGCTATGGTTCTCCCAGTTGCAATGTATGGCTGTGAAAGCTGGACCATAAGGAAGGCTGAGCGCAAAAGGATTGAGGCCTTTGAATTGTGGTGCTGGAGGAGACTCCTGTGAGTCCCTTGGACCGCAAGGCGATCAAACCAGTCAGTCCTAGAGGAGATCAACCCTGACTGCTCTTTAGAAGGCCAGATACTGAAGATGAAACTCAAATATTTTGGCCACCTAATGAGAAGGAAGGACTCCCTGGAGAAGAGCCTAATGCTGGGAACAATAGAGGGCAAAAGAAGAAGGGGACGGCAGAGGATGAGGTGGCTAGATGGAGTCACTGAGGCGGTTGGTGTGAGCTTGGGTGGACTCTGGGAGATGGTGGAGGACAGGAGGACCTGGAGGAGTGTTGTCCATGGGGTTGCAATGAGTCGGACACGACTTCACGACTAACAACAACAACAATACGTTTTCACATCTGTACAGATTCTGGAATGGTGAACAATAAAAGATTAAGAATAAAAAAACACAATAGCAAAAACAGTATCTATAACAGAGTATGAATAAAGACTTTGGCTAGTCATCCAGGGAAGGCTTCCTGAAATAAAGATGGTTTTAGGAGGTGCCAGGACAACCCAGTGTGGGTCTCTGCCTGGCCTCCAGAGGCAGAGATATCCAAAGGAAGTACCTGCACGCCGGGACTCCTCCTGCCCCTGGGTGTTAAGTGTATGGCCCTGTTATGAGTGCGTGGTGTTGAGAAAGCGGGGCAGGAATTGAAAAGGGAGGGAGAAGACAACCATCGCTTGAATCCATCAAAGGGAAGCCAGGACTACCAATGCGTTGCCTCTTGCGCTGTCATCGCTGCACTATGTTCCCTCTTCCCTGTCCCATTCTTGTGTTGTTGACAGGTATTGGCGTCGAGCCCTGGGCATGCAGGTTAGGTACGTGAACTGTGACGGCTACCAGTTTTGCTATTCCTACCGAGGAAGGCCCAGCCACAAAGCCTCTGTGCTCATGCTGCATGGATTCTCTGCCCACAAGGATATGTGGCTCTCTGTAGTCAAGGTACGCTCCCATTTTCTGGCAGTAAAGCAGTTCTGTGTTGGCAAAAGAGCTCATTACCGTTGAGCCGAGGGGGGTGTGTGGGCTGATCCACACTTGGCCTTAACCACAGGCTACTTCTCTGCGGCTCACTTGCCCTGCCTTGGGGTGTCTGTACTGCATAGCCTATGGAGCAACTCAGGTTGGAATGGAAGTGCCAATGAGAACAAAAGCCACGTGTTGCTATGTGGTACTGAGGATGCTGTGGGGTCCCAGCATCTCCACGCGGGGCTGCAAAAATGCCTGCCGGAAACCTTGGAGAACTGCTTCCTGTTGCTGCCAGCAGTTCTGGGCCAGCAGGACCAGTGGGTTCAGTACAAGAACTGGGAGGAACAAACGAGTGACAGTTATAGACATTTAAGCAATGGGTTTTCTTTCTAGATGTACAGGCTTATGAACATAGATGGTAGACTAAATTATAAATATACTGTGCTGTAATTCTTAAACCAATACTAAATGTATTTTGACTTTGTACACAGAAATTCAGGCTTATCTGTGGATATATCATGCTACAGTTAATCAAAGCCTCTCACATATAGTGATTAAAATATAAAGCTGTGGTGTTCTTACATGTAATTAGAAAAAGAAATATGCATTTATTTTTTTTTTAAAGATCAGCTTGTTAAATTTTGAATGTCACATGGAAAGTCATGGACCTTACCCAATCCAAAAGAGTTAAAGTGCGTGCCAAGGTGACTGCACACCAGAATATGTATAAACCCCACCAGGCCTGAGGCTTCCCACAGATGTTTTCATTCTCTCACAGGCAAAGCAGTCTGTCAAAAACCATAAAGCAATTTGGTAAAAAGTTTTATTAAAATTTAGAACAAATTTAAAGCCAGTTGATCAACATACTGGCCGCCTAAGTGCCTACTTACACCAGATGGTTCAAAATGCTACTAAAAGGACTCAGCATAAGGCAGCCGCAAATGGTCTTTTGTTCCCCCCTTTGCAGCAGCAATGGCAGAATGGTGTTAATACTGGCCTGGCACAAGATACTCTGGGAAAGATGGCACGGGATACAAAACTTTCCTTCCACCTGTGGCAGCCGATTGCTTGCAGAACGGGGCTTTTGCGTCCCTCCTTCCTCCGCACACTCTCTGAGTCTTCTCTGGAGGGGGCTGCTCAGAGGAGCTTTGGAGGGTACACAGGGCGGCAGGGAGTAGGAAAGGATGTGGAAATGCCGTTCTGCAAGCGCACTCCTTCTGAGGGTTGAACCTGGCATCTTCTGCATGCAGAGCAGATGTTCTGCCACTGAACTGTGGCAGCTTGGTAACTCCAGTAATGTCAATGGCTAGAAGCTTGTTCACATGCTGGGTTTGATGTTTTGCTTTAGGCAAATACCTCCTCTGACTTGCTAACCGCTTAGCCCTTTTTCTCTGCAGTTCCTGCCAAAGAACCTACACTTGATTTGTGTAGACATGCCAGGTCATGAGGGCACAACTCGATCATCCTTGGATGACTTCTCTATCTATGGGCAAGTGAAAAGAATACACCAGGTAAAGACTCTAGAAATGGTCCTCAGAATTGTTAGGACTTTCTCTCTGTGTCACCTCCTTGAGTGCAGGGTCCAGTTTTGAAGTAGAGGGTTTGGATGGGGAGGAACTTCTTCTTCTTTATTTCTTGGAAGATAAGGTTATGTAGCATTTTTTAAAAGAAAAGGTACAGGGAACAAAAGATTACAGCAAAACCCCAAAGTTCTATGCCAGTATTTAAATGAAGGTGGCATTTCCTGAGAGTGAACTTCCTGCAGTGCACTTCCTGAGAGTGAACTTCCATTTTCTGGACTTCCTGCATGCACTAGAAAACATGCGATCACTTCACAGTCTCAAAGATTATCTTGTCAATATTCTGACCCTCAAATCCTTGTTCTGCTTAATTCTTCAAATCCTGCTCTTTGAACATCTAAGTCCATTAGTGAGCAAGAGAAATTGCAACAAGCTGACTAGGTGACTGGTCTGTTTGCACTTTGACTGTGATGGGTTCATCTGTATTTTTTATGAATCAGATTGATAAATGTGGGGAATAATTACCTCTTTCCTGGTCTTTTCTAACAAGCCGGGCTTCAAGAATGTTACTGAACTAACTTCTCCTACCTTGTAAAAATGTACCCGTCTTCCCTGTCAGTTGTGCAATGCCGGCTGTGCAAGTCATCGCTCTGGATGCTCTAAGCATTTCTGCAACGAGTGCTCGGTGCAATGTGTAAAACCTCAGTTAAGAGCCAGTGTCCCAGGGCACCATCTCCAAACTCTTGGCTCAAAACTGTCTCCTCTGACAAAATGACTACTTGATTTTTTGTATCTATTTCTAAAGCTTGCATGTTCCTATCTGTGACATGACTGGGTGCTATCGAAAGCCACCGTCCTGAACCCCAACAACGCTTCCTTCCTTCCCTGACCTACCTAAGCTGTACGCCATACCTGCCCCCACATCTGGGTCTCAGGGTGCTTGAGAACGTGAAGGAGAGGTGCTCAGCGCCCAGAAAGGCCACGTAGTGATAACTGTGGCGAGGCTGTTCTGCCTCCCCGCTCCACTGTTCCCACACTACTGTGAGGGCAGGAGCAGCTGCAGTGGTTGATCCCAAAAGCCATTCGTGGTGGTCCAAAACGAATCCGGTTGCATCCCTTCTCTTTGCACTCACCGTGTTCTGTTCCAGCAGCGACGGAATGACCTGCTGAGATGCACGTGGACCTTTTCCTGTCCCAGCAGGGTGGCATGCTGAGTGGATGAGCTAGATGGATGTGCGCACACAGCTGTGCGCGAACTCGCCCGTTAGACTTCCCATTCCGACAGATGCTCTCAGAGGCTTTTCTGTAACCTCTCTAAAGTAGCATGCGATTTTCCTAACTCTTTCTTTTCAGCTTTCCCAGGTCTAGGATAGAATCTTTTTTTGCCAGGTTTTTTTTTTTGGCCTCCCCCTTTTGCTCCCTTTCCGGCTTCCTTCCTCTCCCAGCACAGACAACCCACAGCAGTTCTTCCCTCATCTTTGTGAGCCATATAGGCCTCTGGCAGTAACCCAGCTTCGCTCTGGCTTTGTCCCTAAATATGCCACGCAATCTCCCATTGCTCGCTTTTGTGTGGCTTTTGAAATGAACATCTTTAATCTCTCGCAGCTTGTTCTGGAACTGTTGCCCTGTGTTACACTAATACGTGGTTGTCCGTTTGCTCTTTCAGTTTGTTGAATGTATCAATCTGAACAGAAAACCCTTTCATATGGTCGGAACGTCAATGGGCGGAAATGTGGCAGGTGTTTATGCTGCCCAGTACCCAGCGGAGGTCTGCAGTTTAAGTCTTGTCTGCCCTGCAGGTGAGGGGCAGAAATGACGGCCAGGGAAACAACGGGATGCCTGCCCATGGCCTCTTGAATGAAACAGTGGAATTATGTTCCATGAGAGGCACTGGGAGGAAGCAGGGGTCAAACAGCTGGAACCTTGGGCTGTCACAACCACCCTTTGCTCTTGGGTCAAAAGACATCAAGGAAGGGGCACACGTTACACGAACACATGAGAACGATGTGTGCGATTCCCTCCCACAAAATACCCTCCTCCAGACTGCTGGCCCACAAATGTTCTGGGCTCTAACTCACAGCAGCTCCAGCTAGAATGGCCAGTTGCCAGGACTGTTGGGAGTTGGAGCCCAAAACATCTGGAGGATACCAAGCTGGGGAAGCTTGGTTTGCAGTGACTTGGTGTCACTTTGTTGTGCGGATGACGAGCCCTCCTTGGTGACAGCGACAGCGAGTGATGGGTGGGAACTGGATAACAAGGGGCATCAGACACAGATGAGTCATCCTAGATATTACAGAAGAAGGAGCTCGGCGCACCGTTGTGTTTTGGTGGGAGATTCAGGACAGATCAAAGGAAGGACTTCTTCTCATAGGACAGACTATGGAATTCTCAGCCACAGGGAGTAGCAGTGGCCACTAATTCGGGTGGCTTCAAAGGGGACTGGGCAAATTAGTGGAGGACAAGGCTAACCATAGCTACTGGCCTTGTTGGCTGTGTGCAGCTTCCATTCTCAGAGGGGGTGTGCCAATATATACCCATTGCTGAGGAGCTTGGGCTAGCAGAACTTGGAGCTACATGCTCCAAGGCACTCTTGTGGGAGGAGCTTCTGAGGCCACTGGGCACACTGGAAACCTTGCGGGAGACTCATGGGTGCTTTCACACTGCGGGGTGAGGAAGAGGTTGCCATTTCATGAAATAAAGGCCATGGTCAGTCACAAAATGCTAATTTAGCAGCAGCCAAACTGGTGAGCTTAAAAGAATAAATTACCCAAGAAATATAAGGCACAGGCACGGTCTGAGTTTCCCAGGAGGAAGTCACTTTTTTGAACCCCAGTTATGATGCAAGTGGGGGCCAGTCCTTCTCTCTGTAGTATGCCAGCTCCCAGTTCAAGTTTCTGAATATTTTTTTAACTTAAGGAACACAATAAAAATCAGGGAGGGCAGAGAGCTTGGTGGGTGCTGTGAAAGGCATCCATGGACACCATGCTGGAGAACTCCAGAGCTAGAGCAGGCCTTTATGCTTTTCCCCTGCCTGTGGACTAAAGAACAGGATCTCTGTTCAGGTTCCTCTGGCAGGTTTTCTCTGCTGATGGCAGGTGCTTTTCTGCTTCCACTGCAGGGCTGCCACATGGCAGAGAAAGCAAGTTCGTGAAGCAGCTGCGGGAGCTGAAGGCGTCCGAGAGCATGGACAGGATCCCTTTGATTCCATCCACCCCAGAGGAGATGGCAGATATGCTGAAGCTCTGCTCCTACGTTCGCTTTAAAGTGCCCCAGCAGGTAAAACGTGTGAGTGGCAGGGGCGCCTGCAGTTGGGGTCTTTGTAGCCTCAAGGTTCCCGGAAGTCTTTCTGAATGAGCAAGCCTCATGCTGTCTCAGTAAACATCCCTGCAAGATGTTGTAGGGCAAAATTTGGGCCGTAATCTTCTGTCTTAAGCCGACCCTGTGATAATAGGGAAACAGAGAAGCACAGAAATGGAGTGAGTCAGAAGGGGCCTCCTGCACCATCTAGTCTGACCCCCGGCTCCAGCTGGCTCCACTCATGTCATGTCTACCATAATGAGTGAGCTGCATCCCTTTGACACAGTTGCTTTTGTCTAGTGACTAGTTTGGCAAGTTTCCCCAGACCACTAGAAACCTTTGTTTTTCCCCAGACTATTGGAAGTCCCTGTAGACCCTGTTTTCATCTCAACAGATACAGAGAACTTTCATATTGCCTATCTTCACAGCCCCCAAAACAGAAAATGGCCCCTCAGCCATAAGTCAGGTGCACAAGTTGAAAGTCTTTGTGAACGTTTGCTCACCTGTCTAATTTCTGAGCATTTTAGGCAATATGCTTATGTCAAACTCCATGAGGTCTAGTGATTGAATTCTACCCAAACGCCACAGTGCTTTTTTTTTAAAGCAAGGGAAGAAAACCTTATCTTGGGCTCCTTTGGATCAACAGCCAGCTTGTTACCTGCTGCAGCTTGTTACAGCAGGCACCCTTCTGCTCTCCTGTGGCTTTAAAAATATAAATGTGTGTGAGTATAAAAGTAAAATAAAATAAAATTGGCAAGGGATTTTGAACACATATAACCAATACATTTGAGCCCACAAATTTCAAAGAGACCAAAAATACCTATTTTTCTATCATTCTGTACTCTATGGAAGGTCAGAAAAAAAGAGAAGAATTATTCTGCATGCTGATAAATCTTTCAATCACTTCAAATCAATTATAAATCATCAACTACTTTTTAAAGAGCTTCCTTTTACATCCTGCTAATTGTACTGGATATAATAGAATTTCCATTTGTCATTCAATTCTTCAGTCTTCTATTTATATAGTTAGTTACTTTTGCCATCATTTCACACTCTGCCAACATATTTTTCCAAACTTCAGACATTGGGGATTCTGGTGTTTTCCATTTAGATGCAATTGTAATTCTTGCTGCAGACATCATATATTTAAATAACTCTGACATATTCTTTGAAAAAAAATCTGGCATTATATTCAAAAGCATATTCTTAGGACTAATAGGAAACTTAGTTTTCAAGTCTTTTTGTATTTCTGCATCTATCAGTTTCCAAAATCTTTTAATTGCTTCACAAGTCCTCCACATAAGGTAGAAAGTCTCATCCACCTTGTTACATTTCCAATGTTTTCCATTATAATTCTTATCTATTTTTTCTATATATTTTGGATTAATATAGCACCAATAAAACATCTTGTACCAATTTTCTCTTAGTGCTTGACTAGCTGTGAATTTATTGTCTTTCTTCCATAAGGCTTCCTATTGACAAGGTGACATTTCTTTTCCAGGATTTTGCTTCCAAATACATTTCTTGTCTTGTTGATTTTTCAGTGTCATTCTGTACTGTTTGTAAAGTCTTCCTAATAAATAATCATTTTGTTGTGTAATCATCTTTTCAAAATCTGTCAAATCTCTTATAGTACCTTTCCCTGATTGTATTTCCCCTTTCAATCTTGAAACCAGTTGCTGATAAGCAAAGCACTGTATATTTTTTTCCTTCATCTTTTAGTTGTTGCCAAGATTTGACTCATCTTTATTGGCCAATCATAACCCCATAAATTATAAAATCATTATTTTTCCTTAAGTATTTTCCATATGCTTCAACTGGGGACATAAGAGGACAGATTGGAGGACATTTTTTTCCTCATAGAATACCAAATTTCTATTAGGCCATCTCTTAATGCATGGTTAGTATTTGATATCAATGCCTTTTTAACAGGCTCTTTGAACCGTAAGTGGTTGTGTGTTCCATCTTCAAGATCTGCTATTTCTGACTTCACCAACCTATCATGCAATCCAAACTAGGCCAGCTGCATAGTATAGGTTTAAATTAGGTTCTGCAAGACCTCTTCTCTCCTTTTCATCCTGAAGGATTTTAAATCTAATCCTCAGCTTTTTGCCATTCCAGATAGAGGCATTTAGTTGTCTTTACCACCCTTGGAGAGTTTTTCCTAGTATAGCAATCGGTATCATCTGGAATAGAAAATTTTATTTAAGTAGTACATTCATTTTTATAATGGAAATTCTTCCCAGCCATGTTACTTTTAGTTTAGTCCATTTTTGTAGATCTTTTTGGATCTTCATCCATGTTATTTGATAATAATCTTGAAATAGTGTGTCATTATGTCCTGTTATATTTATCCCTAAATATTTAACCAGGTTTGAGGTTATTTCGCATCCTGAAATCTATTTTATACTTTCCTCTTCGTGTTTTGGTGCAAATTTTGATATATTTTTTCTTTTTTCTTTTTGAACTTATAGCCTGAGTAAAGTCCAAATTTTTCAATTTGCTCTATTATATACTGTATAGACTGATGTGGATTTAGACTGGTCAAAACTATGTCATTACCATGATATTTCCTTTTATATTCCTCTCTATCTGCTTTTGAGCCTTTAATTTTGGATCTTGTCTTCCCTTTTTTGCCAAATTGCCAGTACAAGAATACATAAGAGAAGTGATAAAGGGCATCCTTGGCATGTTCTCTTCTCCATTTGAAAACTTTGCAACCGTTAAGGTCCAATTAAAGGTCAGATAAAACATCAAGAAACAGTCCATTTTAGAGTCCTTTCCAAATGCATAAACAACAATGCATTAGGAGTCTGAGTTGCAGCCAAAATCTCAGCCTTGGATCAGTGCTGCCTGGAAAGCACAATTTCCTTCAGCACAATTCATGTATGTATCAGCAACTAAAAGGGCAAGAAAACAGCTCCCCAGCTCAAGCATCCAGCAGTTCCTAAATAGTGAGAAAAAGCCACAAAAGGAGACAGGCCTCTCTCTCACTGCACAGAAGCCCCAGCTGTACCAAGGTCAGTTTTCACTACCCATAATTCTTAGTTTCTTAAACAAAGACATCTGACAATTTTGCAGATGCTAAGGTCTGGTTAAAGTTCAAATAAAGCATTGTTAATCATCAGGAAACTGTCTGTTTCAGAGTCCTTTCCAAGTATACAAACAAAAATGTCTTTAGTGTTAAGGTTGCAGCAGGTTAGAATATTATTTTCTTGGTTCAACAAGTAGAAGAAAGCAAAAAAAAGAGAAAAAAAAGAACAGTACAAAGAAGACAGAAAGGAAAGAGAAAGAAATGTTACCTTATTTGGCCATCTCACTGTAATCAGCTATAGAGTGAGAGTCTTCAGGCCCACCTGTCATTTAGAGAGGTAAAAACACTCTCAAAGACAATTTGTAAATGTCTAAACAAGATAAGATGTCTAAACAGAGCACCAGACAGTGCTGCTGGTTAATCACCATTCCCCCAGAAGTCCCCACCCGAGGCTTCTAACTGCTGTGCTTTGCCACAGCACAAGTGCAACTACATTAACACAAAAACAAAACAAAACAATTTGCAGTTTGTAAAACATCGGTTGCCAGTCACTGCAGTGTGCTGCTGAAGCTCTTTTAAGGGGCGGTCAAAATGGTGGTTATGAAAAATGGTTGTCAGGCCAGACTTTGCATTTCTGTGGGGCGGGGCGGGGAGCTTAAAGAGACAAAAAAAGCGCCATGGCAAGCAAAAAGGACTTGTGTTTGTGGTGGAGGATACCTAGCCAGTAGCAGCTGTCCCAAAGTGCCACTTGGGCACTCTTGGTGGCTGGTGCAAACTTGTCGAGAAAGGCAAGAGGCTTTTACTTTTTTGGACAAGAAACTCAGTTACTGCTTCCCTTCATTTATGATTACCCAAATTCATACAGCACATCTACCCGTTGTGGGTTAAACAACTCCTGTTATAAACCATAGGTTGTCGAAGTGGGTTGTTACCCAGGAACAAACTGTCCTGCAGGAAATGGTTGGAACTCCTGCTGTGGCTTGTCACACATGATGAGTTGTCATGTTGTACAAACCCTGTCACAGTGTATTGGTCTAACTAGCTCAGTGTGGTCTAAAGCAGAACTCCCCAAACTTTTGGGCTGCTGGGCCTATTTGAAATTGGCTGACAAAATGGCCACCATGGAGGAGTGTTTGCCCATCCACAAAATACTGGATGTCGTTGTTCTTATTTTGTGGAAAACAAATCAGTGAGACTAAAAGAAAGTAACTTGTCTAGCAGTCTAAGTACAACTCAGAATGGGTGTCAGAGGTCCCAAATACAGAAACACTGTTTTCAACCCAAATAAAGATGGTGCAGAGGGGTAGAACTTTGCTTTCCAGCATGTCAGCATCCCAGTCCACTATCATCATAATAAGAAATAATACAAAATTTGGGAGTTCACTGGAGTCCTGAGGCATCCCAGTTTCTCCAGTAAATGGAAGATATTGTGGATCCCTGTATCTCTGCCTGATGGGAGTTCTTCCAGCTGGGACCTTTTTCATGCTCAGCATCTGCTTGACCACCAAGTGATGCCTGTGAGAACAGCTAAGTGTGAGAACTTCTAACAAAAGTCAGTATCACTTTCCTTCTCCTCAACTTAAATTCTTCCCCTCTCGCTCCACACCACACACACAACCCCAATCTCTGTCCTAAATGTTTAGCCATCATGTGCATGTTTGAACAGACAGGCGATAGCTCAGTGTGCGGCATGCCAGAGGGACACAGGTGAGCACTAAATGTAATGGAAGTGACTTCTTTGTCATGAAGAGCTCGGCAATTCACATTTGCTCATGCAAATGTGACCTTTCTTGAGAAATCTGAAATGTGTGGGTTTATGCCGGAAAAGTCAAATGCTAAATAAAGCAGCTAGGATGATGTTGAAAAGAATGAGCAGAGGCTATGATTATTACCCTCCCTCCAATCCCCAGCAACCTTTCTGACAGAGAAGACCAGTTTTCCTGGTAGTTCTCTTTTTTACCCGACAGAAATATGGTACCCATCTATTTAAATCCATTGTGTGGAGGCCAAGCAGCACACATGGACAGCTCCCCCAGTTCCTTGCCACAACCTCTGCTGCAAGGACACTTAAAAGAGACATCCCCTTTTAATTGCACGGCACAAGGCACAAGCTGAACACTCCAGTACGTGCATGTGTGAGGATCAGATGGTGTGGCGTGTCCACATTGTGGCTGCTCCTGGTGGCCTCTCCTGAGAATGAGGAGTGCCAGCAGACGGGTATGCTAGGCCTGTTCTTTTCTTACAAAACACTGTTATGCGTTTGCAGATCTTGCAGGGTCTCGTTGATGTTCGCCTCCCACATAATGACTTCTACCGAAAATGTAAGTACCGCACACCATTTCCTTCTTGGTCCTGACTGAAGGGCCTTGCAGACAGCTCTAACGTGTGGAAGAGAGGCCTCAGCTAGGGATGTTGGCATGGGACAGCTTCCCAAATTGGCAGCCCTTCTGTCTGGTTCTTCCCACGCCTGTTCCTGTTAATGTTCATTCAGATATATTGCCATGCCGTAGGCAACTAGGCATGATGTAATGATGCCCCAACACACATGTCTGCCTATAAAAGGGTGCTGACCCTCAGGTCAGTCTGTCCCACGTGGGTCCCAGCCCAGCCTTTTGGGGTTCCCCAAATGGCTCTTTCCTTTCCCTTGGCCATACCCCATTCCCCACACTGTTGCTTATTTGGTGAATTTCTACCTTTCGAAGTTTTCCCACCCATCCACCCCATTCTGCAAGCTTGAAATGCCTCTCCTACAGCTTTGTTAATGGCAGAAAGAGCTTTAAACCAAAATATGCTGGTAGTTTTTGCATTTTGGCCTTGACTTCCTTGCCTTTTTCCTGCCCATCACTGGAATGCATCCAGAAATGGAACTGGGTTGAATGAGGGTTGATACTCCTAGAATAAATGATTAAGGGGTAGGTTGGAGGGGAACAACCTGACGTAGAGCTTTGAGTATTGGATGGTATGGAAATACTAATAATCATCATCAGAAGAAGATGGGATGCTGAATTTGGTGCTAATCACATATCAAAAGTCTCATCTAGGTCTGTTCTTGAAGGGAGGGGAACTTGTGAGCAACAATTGATGGAAAGTGGGCAACAGGTTTTACACACTCAACATTTCACTGGCAACATGTATTGGGGTTTTTTTTTTAAAGCAAAGAGTTAAAAATCATGCCCACAGTAATTAAAATAATTAACTCACCCCTCATTTCCTCTTTTTCTTTTCTGGAAAGTATTTTTAGAGATTGCAAATGAAAAGTCAAGAAACTCCCTTTATGAAAGCATGAGCAAGATCAAAGCCACCACACAGATCATCTGGGGAAAACAAGATCAGGTACATCAGTCTGTTTGCTTCCCTGACATCACCCCCCCCCATTAATGCAAATGGATAATAACCTATGGGGAGATCAACAAAGAGCCCAACGGCAACATAAAGATTAGCAAACACACTGCGGCCGAAGCTCTTGTAGATGAGAGCCCACTTCATAAGCTGTCAAGTAGGTGCTGCTGATTTGCCTGTTGTGTAGTTAATGAGAACTAAAGATCCCAGCTCACCCGAGTGCAGCTTTTAGTTTGGATTAAATGGCACAGGAGATCTTGAAAGACGCCTGGAGAAGAGGATCACCCTGCTTCGGAGCTCCATGTAGGCAGATATTGAGTGATGAGATAGGAGGCCTTGCTGGCTGTGTGCTTCCTCCTTTCCCGAAGCGTGGCCTGCCCGCACATACTAGTTGCTGAGGAGCTCGGGCAGGAGGAGGTCTTGTACTCGTCCCGCTTGAGGGATCCTGTGCAGCTGGATTGCCATCGTGTGTGCAGAGTGCTGGACCAGATGGACCTTCGGTCTGATCCAGCAGGGCTTTTCTTATCTTCCTACATTCACCAGGCTGTCATGTTCAGATAGACTGTCCCATTCATTTCGGTGTGGACAGGAGACCTGCATGCACCTTATGATGTATGCAGATCTGCTGATGTCATTGAAAGGGCAGAGACAAACCATGTTCAGGGCCTCCAGCTGTGCATTAGAGCTGCAGCATCCATGCCAAATAGCAGAATGAGGGCACTGGGGTGTTGCATGAGAGGACAGAGGAGCACCGGGTTGGGTCTTCCAATTCACTCTCGGAGTTCTGTTTTCCTTTGGGGAAGAGGTCCCATTTGCACCAGAACTGTAGCTGGTGAAAGCAGTGTTACTGTGGCAACTACAAGAGAGATACTCTTCTGTGACTTCCTGGCAGAGTTAATAAAAAAAAAAAGCAACTACAGGAAGGAGAGAAGGGGTGTGAAAAATTAGTAATGGGAGGAAATGAGTGGGAGGAAATAATTACATCTGAGGAAGCAGGCATTAAACAAGGGCTGAGCTGGAGAAGAGTGAGGCTGAACTGGATGAGTGGAACATGGAGTGGCCTTTGGGCAGTCCATCACAAATATCCTTATTCTCAGTGCAGGCTTGGCCTTTCTCCTCCTTCATTGCTGAACAACTGCAGCAAACCAAAGCTGGAGCTGGTATAAATCAGTGTGCACAATAGATGAATGATGAAACAGGAATGAATGTGACTGTCGGATACAAAGGCCTTAATTATGAGTGTGTGACTTGTAGTGGTGTAAGATAATGAGGAGATCTGATGGAGGTTTGGACCAGGCTGGGGGGAACCTCAGTGTGTGTGAGGCTTGGATTGAGTCTGTGCAATATTCCTTGTGGTGTAAGACATGCAGTGCAGGCTTCACCAACATACTTGTCCCTAAGGCATTTAGCCGTTCATTAAATACATTTAATGAATACGCAAGTGAGGAAAAAATAAATGCAGCCCAGATCCATTGGACTCTGCTGAGAGTTGTACTCACATCTGGAAGGCAAGGCTGGGGAAGGCTGCCCTGCAGATGACCAGGAATATATGGATGTGGATAAACCAATACCATATTTTGGTTCTTTATTATTTACATGTGCAGGACTCCAGTTTTCAGAGTGTTCATTGATTGATTTAACATTCCTGTTGGCTCAGTTCATACCTTTTATTAATTTAATTTGTTTTCCAGTATGGTTTGGCTTATGTTTCTATGAGCCAACTAACCCTAGTACTATTGCACAATTAGTAACTGTGTGGATGTGATGCTGTTTTTTTAGAGTAAACTTTAAGTATGGGTCTCGGATTAGGATCCAGGGTGATAGGAAAGCTTCAACTCTTTGTCCTCAAATTAAGATCTTGTGTGCCTTTCCCTTCCCAGCAACCTCCACTGGTTATTTGCATCTGGAGGAAAGTTCCCATTGGGGCTGATGTAGTTTATAGATAAGAAAGTACTGCTAACAAAATAAAATATGCCATCATCAGGACTATGGACATTATGTTACAATTCCAGTATTTTTGAATGCTTCTTGAAACCTCATCGACTCTTAAAGTCCTGGTGGAAGCCATTGATTTAAGGAGCTGAGCCACTGCAAAAGCTTGCGCTAAGACGATCATCAGCATTTTTCCATTTTTGTGTTACAATGCAGCATTGTCCATATGGGAACCCTTTTGTCTCTTACATTCAACCACTTTTCCTTTCATCTAGGTTCTGGATGTTTCGGGAGCAGAACTTTTAGCAAAATCAATTCCTGACTGTCAAGTACACATTCTGGAAAACTGTGGACACAGTGTAGTTGTGGAACGGCCCAGGAAAACAGCAAAACTCCTCCTTGAGTTTTTAGCTGCTGTACAGAATGCGGAGAACAATAAAAAACTGGCTTGAATGTCCACCATCGAGTTGGCCCCTTAAGCTAAATGATCCAGCCGTGATGAAATACTGCTACTTTAATCAATTCTCAGGGATCATCTTAGACAGAACTTGGTGACTGTGCCAAAATCCCTGAAATAACCAGAATAATTGATACATTTAATTGTTGCTCTGTCAGTGCATTGGTTCATGGGATCCTGAGCAATCTGCAGATATGTGTGTTGTTGATGAAGTCCAATAAAGTTTGTGTTATCCAGTATTTTTGGGGGTAGCGAAAGACCCACCAGGTAGATCTGTGATTCAACTACCTTATTCTTCAGGCATGACCCATCGGTAATATTTTCCACACATTTTTAATAGTTCTGTCCAGCTTGGGCTGGATACTGTGTGTATTAGTGAGGTGAAGTAGAAAGTGAGCCACAGACCTTCTGTATCTTGTCCATTTTCCCATTCCCCATCTCTTGTAAATCCAATCATGAGAGAGAGAAGTCCAAAGAGGAACAGGTCTCTTCCCAACAGATCTTTGAAAAGTTCCTAAATTATCTGGAAAACATGTCCCTACTTACCCATTGGACTTTACCTATAGCATACATGTATTATAATTATTTATATAATATATAAACTAGAATATGACATGAAATCAAAATTTCTATATCATGGAATGTACTGGCCACTCATAGGTTTATGCAGCTATGTTATGTGATCTAGCATAATATCCGACTAATTGGAACGTAGATGTCAATGACATTTGTTTAAAATATATAGGAACTACGGTATGGGGCAAAATAACAGACTGAGAGCTATGGTATGTTCCTACCTCCTAGTGCACATGGCTTTGCATGATGAGCAGTTGTTACAAAAGTTTCTGATGATCCAGATGTTTGCTAAATTGCTGTTTATGTAGCTCATTAATTTATGTTTTCAGCAGAGAAGGAAGGTAACGCATCAATTCTTACTGGGTGGAAAGTTTCAGAGACTCTACAACACTGCGTGTTTACACCAATATGTTATGGATGAGTTTCTGTATCCCTCCGTAGCTCGGTTATGTATGCACTGCCTTAAAAGTCAGCGATGCTGAAGTGGTGGTGTCACCTGGCTTGACTGTAATCATGACCTGCCCTCTGGTTCTCTGGTACTCAAACTTTAAAGTCATCAGTTTAGGTATTCAAGCTTAAGGGGCAATTCGCTTACTGTATAGTGCACATGTGTGTGCAAATACACACAAACAGGTTTTGTTCCACTGAAATCAATGGGACTATTCCTGATTTAAGTGGCTAGCAAATTCTCTGTGAAAAACACTGTTTCTGTACAGTTAATAAACCAAGTGGAGCCATTTTGAAGCTATTTCTAGAGCCATTATTTTCCATCTCCGTAGTACTTGATCTAAGCAATAATTACTGTATGTAGATAGATGCACAAGTGATCAAATTCAGGTTAGAGACAGGATGAGCTGTTTTCTCAGCTCTTTTCCTAATTATGTATCTTGCTGAGTATTTTGATGTAAATAGCAGAGTTTCTTAATGAATTCTGTGAATTCTGTGAAAGGAAAAGTGTTGGGGTGGGGGGAGTGTGTGTGGGATGAAATGTGTAACAATAAAATATAATTAGGGTACTCTAAAGGCTTGTTTGCTTATCTAACTCTTACAAAGCTAATTATTTCTCAGATGTGGTGTAAGCTCCAATAGAATCCATTTTCAAACGTATGAGTACATTGCATAGAACATACATAGTCATTCTGTTTCTGGGTATTTTTATACCTTTCCAGTTGTGACTCTTGACATTTATGTATCAAGTTAAGTGGGTGGGCTTGTTTTTGCCTAGTTTCCTGTAGTGCTCTTTTTTGGGGGGTTGGGGGGTTGGGAAGGATATAGGAAGAAATTATTCTGAAGATCCCTTACACTGAGAAATACTTGGCAAGCACCATTGCAAGGTCTGATCATCATCTACAGTGATATGGGTCTTTAGGCTGTAGTTCAAACCTCTCCAAGTTTTGGGGATCAATGTGCACCTTTGGAATTTTGAGAACCTTGTTGTGGGCACTCTTACATAACATCTGTTTTTGGGGTGCCTTGCCATTCATAGAATGGTTGCTTGAGGTAGGCACGGATGTTCACAGCTCACCTGTTTCCCAAAAGATGTGCTGCTGAGACTAAAAGAAAAGTAACTTGCCCAGCATCTTAAGCATGAAGACGAGGTTAGGTCTGAGCTCCCAAATTCAGAAATACTGTTTTGAACACAATAATAGCACCAGAGGACAGAACCTCACATGCTAGACCCCCAATGAAATAATAATTTTGAAAAACTGAAGAAATAAGATTTTAAAAAATTATTTTTTAAAAAGCAGGAAGCCTGGTGGAACAGAGGTGTTGGTGAACATTTGTGTCCATGAGCATCAGACTGAAGACTTCAGATGCAGCAGGGAAAAGTGGATGAATGGCAAATGGATTGCCTTTTGCAGCTGACATTTACGGGATGCTCAAGGCATCCTTTGGTCCTAGCATTCAGCTGAGGACATGAGATGGTGTTGTTATAGAACTACTGCATTACTGACCCTTTCAGGAAGTGCTGTATTGTGGGGATAAAGTTCTGATTTCTTCTCCGCTGTAAGGACTCTGTGTAATTTAAATTTGCATTTATTACTGCTGTAGATCCGCTTTGCAGTACATTTTGAAATATGACTTGCAACAACATCCTACTGTTTAGAGTCAATGCTGCTCTGTCTTTTTCTCAGATGGGGAAAGAAGACTTTCCATTGTTTGAGAAGTTCAGGAAAATCCACCTTTCATCTCATCGTTGCTGGATCAATATTTCTAACACAGCTGGAAAGAGAAACAAAGAGACTGCTATCTTAGTGCATACAAAACCAGCAGAGGAGAGCAAGGAGTGAAGTTTTATTCCCCTTTTGCTATGCTTTTCAGACCTCAGTGTGGTGTATGTAAAAGGACTGAATGAAAATGTGATTGAAATAAAAATCTGTGTTTTTGTGAATGCGTCTTCATCTGTGCCCTTCTCCTTGTTCCCTGTATTACTGATGTTCAGGCAGTGAGCACTGTTCTCACATTATTGCAAAGCCCAAAGCAGCCCGTTGCGGAGTGACGATGCTTGGTGGCCTTGGGGGCAGGTTTTCAGGGACAGGAGAAAGAATAAAATCGTGCTTTTTATAAGCTGGAGGCCATAAGGCCTTGGCATGTCTCCAAGAAACTACCCTGGCTTTTGGGTACCTGGAAAGTTTGCCACACTGCCTGTTGAACCTTAATCCCCTCATCTTTCTTCTGGGACAGCCCATCTGTGTTTGTTTGTTTGTTTATTAGATTTATATCCCACCTTTTTCTTAAAAAAGAACTCAGAGAGGCGTATGTCATTCTCCTCATGCTCTCAAGCTTATCCCCACAACAAGAACCCTGTGAGGTAGGTGGGGCAGAGAGTCTGTGCCTGGCCCAAAGTCACCCAGTTGGCTCCTTGGCTGAGTGGGGACTAGAACCCAGAGTGCCTCAGTCCCATCCTCAGCCACCACTCTGACAAAGGAGGCTAAACAATGTATGTAAGCAAGACTAACCACTGCAGGGGGTGGGGAAGAGGGAGGAAAATGCTGACTTCTTGAAGCCTGGAGATGAACCCTACTGTGCATCATCTGCATTTACTCTTTCTGTGCAGCTGCACTGTCCAGTATTTCAACAAAATACCATTTTCACTTACCCCATTTTCAGATGTAAGCATAGAACTTGCTTCAAGTTCCCTTTTATCAAGATCAGTGAGCACAGGATCTAGGACAGAAAAAGATCCAGGCAAATTCTATTTTCTCTCCCATTCTCCCCGCTGCCCCTGGTTTCCAGTTCTTGTGGCTATGGTACTATATTAGCAATCCCTGTGGGGCTGGTGAGCTAAATTTTGCATCAAACGGGCTATCACGCACACTCTCAGACAGCAAGACAGATATTCTGCCTGGCTGTGACTCCTCTTACAGCTTTGTGCTTGCAAGGTTGGGCTTTTACAATTAAAGTGATTGCAATAGGTGTAATCCTTCATTATTCTTACTCGGATATTTGCTGTTAGCTGTTGAAAGGGAAGCCAGCCCCTTCACACTATAGTGACAGACAAGGGGGATTAATTTTGCAGGCTAGAGGATGTAGCCATTAAGGACCTGCCTTGTACAATTTATTTAAGCATGGCATCACCTTGATTATCTCCGCTTCACCTGCTTTGTTCTTCCCTGGTTTGGCCTTAATACTGCCAGCTTAATATGTGGCCTGTTTGATTGTTATTTGTGTTCCTGTTTTCTAGTGAGGCAGCTTGTCGGGAATGCTTCCTGTAGCATCCCTCTCCTCCTCATACCATCTTTCAAATATTTCAAGTGGAGTAGGGATTCTTTGACACCGGTTCCTTTTCCAAAGCTAGATTTGTATTGAGGCCTCCATTACACCAAATAATCTTGAGGAACGATACACCTCAAAAGGAAGCGCTTGCCCTCCAGATACCTCAAGAAATTTCGGATTTTTTGCCGAGGGGAAAGCACCTCAACCTTATATTTATTTTCACATTCTTTATTTTCAGATGATAATCTCAAGCCAGTGCACACTCTTAAACTGATGTTGCCTAGGCAGCAAAAACTCCTGTCCAATCTTACTCTGTATTTCTAAAGAGGTAAAGTGCTTCCTGCCTAATGGCCTTACAGATAGAAAGAAGCTAACAGGAAAAGGGGGTCCAAGGTTTGCCAGTAGTCCCAAGCAGGAGACGTTCAACAGCATGAGGGGTGCAAGGAGTCTGAGTGGCAGGCTGAGTGCCAGGTCTGGTTTCAGGTTCAGAGTTTGCCCAGAGTTTGCGGAGCCTCTGGGTCTTAACACACTTTTCTTGGGACTTACTTTGAGAATGGGAAGTTTCCTATTGTTTCTCAGACTGATGCCAATCGCTTGATGGATGCTTGATTGCTCTTCAGGACCTTAGCTAGCTGTTTATCACTGCCTGCTATGTGAACATGTCTGAGTTCAGTGGGGATATGGATGTGGGCTTTGTTGCTATTGATGGGGTGTCTAGGTGTCCGGTGTCCTTTCCCTTACCCCGTGACTTATTGTGCTCGCTCAGGGCAACGATAGTCATCCTTGCAAGGTCATTTTGCCTAAGGGGAAATCTGTAGGTTGTGAACTTTTCACAGCAAAAATCCCATTACTCATCATTCCCTTTTTATCTCATTCGCACAGGCCCATGTCCTCAGGTCACTCCTTCTGAGCTCCAGCTTACCAAGACATCCGGTGCCCTGGAAGCCTGTCCCCATGGTGCTGCTTCACAGCCTGGGAGTCTGTCTTTGTGGTGCTTGGTATACAACCAGTATCGATCTGAATTATATACTCAACATGGGATTTGCCTTTTTCATATCTGCCTCATGCTGTGTTGACGTTTCCATTGAACTGTCCACTGCAGCTCCAAAATGCCTTTCTTTTGTGGAGCTTTTCTATGTGAGGCTGTCAATCTCGTTGCAAAATTGCAACCCAAGCACTGCCCAAGCTGCTTTCCAGTTCTGAGGCTCTGCTGCATCACCGCTAGGCAAAATGGCGTGGCACAGCCATTGGACTAGTGCCAATACACAGGATGAAATGTACCTGCTTTTGCGTTCGCAGTGCAATGCCCCATTTTCCTTGCTCTGGAAAAATTTGCTGAACGTGCTGGTTAGAGGGCCATAGCATCATCTAAAGGCCCTGTAAGTAACCATAAATAGAGAACGATGAATGCATGATAAATGCCTTGCATAGAAAAGTCCTTGGTCAGTCGCTGCTAGCTCAGATCCCAGCAGCATATACATGAAGTTGCGATGCTTTGCCCCAGTGTGCATCCCTTCACTGTTTTCTCTTCCTTGGGACAAAATCTGTGTCCTGACTAATTTCATGTCTGTTGAATTCAATATTGCTAGGATGAAAACACATCCAGTTAAGGTAGAGCTTGTGATTTTATCAGTCTTCCAGCATCTTTGACTGGCAACTCCTTTATAATTATTACAGAACTGATACCCAAAGTTCAGGTATGAACTTAAAATGTGAACATGGCAGCAGTTCCTGTGAAGCAGCTGCTGCCAGTTGTGGAATTGTGCGAGCTACTGCGACTCCCATTCATGCAGTCGGGACCTGACGTGGGCACCGCATCCGCATCACACAACAGGCCACTCATGGCTTGTAGAACTGTTGGCACTGTGTAGTTATGTTTTAAATTGGGTTCAGAACCTGGGAGCCAAACCCAGCCAGCCTGAGAGTTACCAAATTTTTGATGGCTTCCTGGAGGTTGCATGCTTCCTTCCACCAGCTGCTTCATACTGAAAGGTGGATAAGGTTTAGATATCTAAAGGGAAGGAGCATCTC